GTGCGGCAGCCAGTAACGAGCAGCGCAAATTGTCAATGTGCTGAGTCCTGTACAACGAAACTTGTAGAGAACTCGGATATGCAAAAAAATAGTACCGAACTCGACTGCAAAATATAAAACAGTCGGACATCATCGTCGTAAGAGTCCGTTGGTGACCTAAACAGTTACAAACACGAATCTGGTTCGCTGCCAATGATATGGCGTGTCCGCGGTCGCGCTTGGCGCTGAGCCAACCTGTGTTTTTTTCTCGACAAGCGACAGGACTACCATATCGTTCGTATAGGCGTTTTCCAGCAGTTGGTCTCCTTTATCGGAGTCAGCAAATTGGCGGAGCACGAATCTGGCGTCGTCGTCAGGGATAAACACATAACCATCCTACGCAACGGAAAACATTGTAAACAAGTGCACAGGCTCGCCATGGACCTCCCTGAACCCTATAGACACATTTGCTCGCGTGGACAGACATTACGCACAAGTTGCACCCATTACATCACTCTGCTGCGCGGACCTCAGTGCGCGGCGCATACAAAGTCAGCGTGATCGGCGCTAAACGAACCATATCCTGCTCCTGCTCCACCACAGGATACGTTCTACATGCGTTCCTGGCTATTCGAACACGCTCACTTGAAACGGTACACAGGAAACGGGTTTTTCGCGCAGCTGGGAGTGTTCCTCAAGAAATCCCCATAGCGAGATCTCATGAATCCCGAGAGCTTCAGAAACAGTTCAAGAGGTTTTAGAAAGAGAAATCTTTAAACACTCGGATCCGTTCTCAGATTTGTGAAATGTTGAGTTACAAAAAAATATATTGATTCAAACCTGTTCAACTTGAAACCACTCCCCATGGAATCCCCATGGCAGATTTCTCTGTGATTTTTGCGACCTTCATAAACGTTTCAGTACTTTAAACTATTCCAAACCTTCCACGTCACGAATACGGTCTCCTCTTCCCCACAGGTCCGCTTTTGCAGGAAGTTATGGTCCTAACAACCTACCTCAGCTGGAAATTCTCGCTCCATGGCTAAAATTGCCGAATAATCTCCAGTCACAGCTGCAATTACATGCGCATTCTGCTACCGTACTCCACATAATCGGGGTAATGCATTTTTAGCGTGACTTCTCAACGGTCGACGTTTTATTCTACTCATTCTGCAAGTAAAAGATAAAAGAAGCATTGGACGGATGCTCTTGTTAAGGCTAGTTTTGCTGCAAATAAACGTCATATGTATCTAGACTAACACCTCTGAAAAAAAGGGGGGGGGTCGTACCGAACCCCCAAAAAAGGGGGGGGTCGTACAGGCGCATGATGATGATGATGTTCCTCGCTTAGTAAGTCCACTCTATTTACTTCACTAGAGTATGCTCCAATTTGAATACTTTGGCTTTTCCTTCATTTGGGCACGGTTTCTGTGCTCTTCTTAGGAAGATCGAGACGTTCTCACACGCAACGCTTTTGAAATTGAGAAAGCCAGGAACAGCGATTGAGGGGTGTTCCAAGTGCTGACAGGATCTGCTCCCATTAGTTCTTTGATTGATCGGACGCCGCTCCTTCTCGATAATATTCTGATGAGTCTATCTCGTGCCGATCCCTACGTTTCTTGTGAAGGATGAATATTTAGCCTATAGAGATTCTAAATTGCTCGATAGAGCACTCCGTCAGACGGAGGGAGTACATATTGCGTAACGCCATACACAAGTTACTGACCATTGCTGGATCATGTGCATTAAAATAGAGCGCAAGCTGTGGTTCAGTGTGTTATTTGTAGTGCAACACCTCACATGAGTAGTGAAGTCTAAGGTGATACAACAACACAAACATAATAAAAACGGATAACATGAGTTTAAATGTAAAGAAAATAAGCAGAACGAACAATTTTGGCTTCAATGTGAAGAAGGTGGGCGAAACACGAACATAATCCTCAAAGCAACGACGGATGTGCAACGCGATTAACATAGATATCCATGTGACGAAAGGAAAGTAATAAACTGAGAGATAGAGAGAAGAGTCCAGCTAGTGAGTTTCGGCATCGCATCGACGCATTACAAAGAAGCAGAGAACATAACGAAATAGTAAGAAAATGCTCAGAAAATTTTTCGCGTCGCATAATCGCCAAATAAGAAATCAATAGCAAATAGGAGGAGAGGAGTGCACGGACTGTTCCGCTATCCATACCTCGCTTTGGCGCGCTCCCGCGCGATAGTGAGCAGTTCGATTACGTGACATCTTGAACTTTCGCGCATGGTGTTGTTACGAAACCGCGACGCAGACGGATAGAGGGCAGCGGCTGCCAAAGCATCGAAACGTGCAAAAAACGTATGGCGAGCCAGGAAACGGGATTTTTCAAGGGGAGGGGACTCCGGGGTGGGTGAGCTACTTATAGTCGGTGAAAAGCTGGAGTGAGCGAAGTCACAACGGCCATAGAGTGCCATGCGGACGAGAGAGTGCAGAGAAAAAGAGAAGATCGACGCGCTCAAAGGTATTGAGCTTGAGTTGTCCGTAGACCGATCCTTCCTTTTTCATTTCGATTACTGGGGCGCTGCTATGTTTATAAGTTCGAGCATGTTTTCAAACACTGACAGCGATCTCTCTAAAAATACTTGGGTTACTGAGCCTCTTTATGAAATTCTTCAGCTGCGCTCTTCTTCATTTATTCTCAGCACTCAATAAGGGAATATAGGATGATGATGACCATTGATGTGAAAAACTAATCACGATTTGCGCTCGTTAATGTTGTTTCGGCCCTAGCATGCGGACCGCCGTTCTCCCGGGAATTGTTCTTACAGCAGATAATGCTTTCTTTCTTGACGTCCTTTTTGCCCCGATAACTTCTTGCAGGCTCCTTCTCTATGAGGCGTTCTTTGATGTGTTTCCCCCCCCCACCCTACACAATGGACTAATTGATGCTGCACTTGAACCTTGATCTAATTTTTCTAATTCACTGCAGAGTAGAAAAGCCTGGCATTGACGGTACCGTTTGAGTGGTGAGGGGGAGAAACATCACCATCTGGTCATTTGTTCCTACAGAAGGGGTGTATGAGCACATCTGAGATAGGTTGACAGAAGCCGTCGCTTGCTTGTGGTGCTCGGCAACCACTTTTGAATGCCCTTCAATGTCATCATTTTACTCGCCGACATGTGGGTTTCTCTTTTGTCATTACAATTTGAAACTTTCCTATCTTGCTTATTTTGTCTGTCCAGAATGTCTTTTTGAGCTTCTTGACGTGGTGTAGCCGTTTCGTTTTTTTTCCCGCAGGGTCCCAATTGTGGGAGTGTCTTGAGCAACCATGCTGCTTCCGCAAACGATGAATAGCTGAGAAATGTCAGTCGCAACAGTTCGCTTAGGTATCGAATATACAGCAACGTGTGAACCTGGACCAGTCGCGTTCTGCAAATTTCTAGCTTAGAGGGAACGTAGAGACGTCAGCTAGCACGCGTTATTTGCAGACAATTATGCCAAATTTGCCACGCTTGCTGGAATGTGCTGGCAAAGAACTACCCCGTTGCGAAGCGGTGCCGTGCTCTCGTCAATACATGCATCTTTACCCGAGTCGTATATTCCGTAAACTTTCCGTTCAGTACATAAAGACTAGGCTGGATTTTGTAGAGACAGCTGCTCCTGTCGGCAGTTTTGGTGTAAATGCAAACAATTCAGTATCAGTATGAACTCATCCTTACTAATGAGCACCGTTGCAAACTACTGCTAACTTTACATTACACACTTTTCTCGATCATTAATCCTTCAAGTTCTAATATGGAGGCCCATTGGATCATTAATCCTTCAAGTTCTAATATGGAGGCCCATTTGGGAGATAATCACCAAAAACATAAACAATTCGTTCACTTTGATATCGACCAAGTTCGATTATCTCGAGAGAGCGTGACGACTGTTTTTTCTTACAACTAAATCAAAAGAATTACTTGTGAGAAGGCCTCGGGAAAATTGGAGCAGCTACAGGAATAATAGTACCCCTTCATTTACAAAATCTCCGAGCCCCGGAAGCAAGTTTTCTTCTGCCTGCTGATACTCAGATTCAATGACTTCCATCGCTCGCGTTTGAGCTTTCTTCATTGTTGGACTCTCGATCGAACTTATCACTTGAATCGTTTACGCGGGCAACCAAACCTACTGGAGTGTCTGGTGCTTGTTCTCTCCGTTCATCATCGCTTTCAATCGGTGTTCAACTAAAGACCTGTTCAGCTCACCCGCTGTTGCCTATCTGGAACCGCTGCCATAATAAAAAAAGTTCTTCACAAGAAGGTGTTCTCAAATAACAAAACGACGTACATGGAGATTACTTTTCGCTGAGTAGGTCACGTGCTGCATCTTGTGCAGAACGACAAGCTTATTGCGAAATAAATTTCGAATAGTGGATTAGGCGTTTTCATATAAATGACAAGGTTCTGAGTAACTCGATAGTGAAGAGAAAAGCAGAAAAAAAACATGCCAACTGCCTTAGATAGATACAGTACTCCGCTCCGATGCAGTTTGTACGTGCTCAGTGAACTCCATCTCCAACACTACGCCCTTATCCGCACAGCTCATTCTCCGATAAGAACTCTACGCCGTGAAGTGGCGATCTTCATGCTTTTTCGTCCGGTAGCTTCAGTGAAAGGTGGACCTTGAAGGGGAGTCACTGGAGAAAAGGGACGTCATTGAACCTATAATGCGCTATAGCGCCCCTCCCTTATAATTTTTTGCCGCGAAACCGGTACAAGGTTGTTCGTCGCGGACCACACTACCCTCCCGATGCCATTTTTCAGCTTCTATACCTGATCGTGGATCGTGTCTTCAAGACCCTATGCATGTTACCACTAAATGACAAACGTTTATTAAAGACCGTTCTATGAATGAATTTTTGAACAAGGTAGTTACATAAAGCACATTGACTGGAACGATAGGCAAGCGGATAAGGGTCCAGCATAAAAACTGCGCTGTTTTCGCCTTTATTCTTCCAGCTAAAGGAGTCGTATTTCAGAGTATGATTGAGTATCAGAAATGCTATGAAATGAACATAGCGACCGATAGAGCCGTCAAGAGGAAAATGGTTGACAGATGCGCTGATCCTTGAGAAATAGGAAAAGCATCCTCAATCACGGCGATCCACAGTGAAATGTTATCTCGACTCGCTGCCTTCTGCTCAACGTGTGCAAATCTGCCTTGTACGTCCTGAAGTAGTTCAATTAGATATAACAAAATGGAAGTGTTAAGTGGATGCTAGCTGCTGTGTAGGTAAGAGGCTAAAAATCGCAGGTACAGCATACAGCTGGACCCGACGCATTCATTTGCAAAGAACGGTTTAGCAGCCACTGTCTTCTCTCAAGACGCACTGATACATGGCTGGAGAGTAGTGATACGCAGTGCCGGCTCCATACTGTGCCCGCGCTATCCTCAAGATGCAGTATTCGCGCAAGTGCCAAGGTCCAAGCGGAACACATACTGAGCGATAGAGAACAGCAGGTGGGAGAACGCTGACAATTTGCCCGACGATCAGGTGTGGCTGGTCGCATGGCAGTAAGAAGTCGGCACTGGGGTATTTATCCTTCATCCTCCTTCCCGTGCAGTTTTGAGCGGACAGTGGCATGAAACTGCGGCTGCGGAGCTCATTCGTTCTACATATGGCAAGAATCAGGATTCCGGACGTACGTGAATTGTACAGCAGCTTGATAGAAAATAATGAAACATTATGCATAAATAGTCAAATTCTGGGATGCGCCACGCACAGTCGACTCTCGTCTGAGTTGCAATGGCATTTCGAACGCGACTTCACCTATACAATGACGTAAGGCATCAGACGGTGAGCAGATCAACGTGCTTAGGTCCCAATCTTGTTCGCTGCGAATGTTGAGGTTTCAAGAGATCTGGGTTTGGCACAGTGCCAGCCTGTTCTTCACCAATTGTGGAAGCTGGCAAATGACCACTGCCCTCCTGCTTGCAGAGCACAGGGAAGTAAATAGGTCTCCAACCACGAAGGGAAGAGAGACTTGGTTGGTGCAGCGGTGCGAGGTTTGAACCGACGACCGCGGCATGAGCGCTGTATGCGGAATCAGTGCACCACGTGTAGCAGTTCGTTAGGATTTGTTTCACGTCTTGCTAAATTTTCTATCAAAGCACCACAGTGTGTAGCTGTTTTCACCTTTTCTTGTGCAGGGGTGTTGCAGACGTTTTCCCGTTGGACGCCATTGACGTAACGTCCAAAGACATTTGTGCCGGCCGTCAATCGACAGTCCGGATCTTCTCGTGGAGTCGACGCTCTCATCCCTTTCTCGGATGCCAGTTTATTGAAGCTGTTGAGGAGCTGAAAAAGCACATCTTTAATGTGAAACCGGTAACTAGTTAAGCAGGAAGGTTGAAAACGAAACCCGTGTGACAGGTATATCGGCTTCATAGATGGAGCAGTTGTATATGCCTGCTGACAAGAAAACGTCTGAAGCGAGACAGCTGAATGAGAGAATTTTTGCTGAACGGACGGCAACGAGAACGTGAAGCCATGGCTAAAGGAATCAAACCTGGTCTCGGCCATGCCATGCCACTGAATGAAAAAATGACCCTTGTCATTGCCGTCCACCTGTGCCTCCTCGTCAGCAAGGTCTTTCAGCACCGTGTTTACCCACTGAAAATTGAAACAACTGCAACCTTGGAACTGAACGTCAACTGCAACTTGGAACTGAACGTATGGAGCACACCTTTATTTCTCACATGTCGGTATTAAGAAAAATAAGTAGGCATTTGAAAATCACCTAACTGACATGAAACATTGTGCGGTTGTTGTGCGCTGCATCTGCCAGCTGAAAATTTCTCTGACATTCACAAGGATGATCCCTGGAATGACGAGTGGGGAATTATGTTAGTCGTTAACCCAACAAAACACCTACTTACCCTTCGACCGCGTATCTGCTGGCTCCTGCAATCGTAAGCGTTCGCGATTGTGTACTTTCAAACAGTGCAGCCGCTTGAGCACAGACAGGACCATCGGAATCGAAATGAGCCGCCGAGTGGTGTATGGGCCTAAAACCAATGAAGTCATCTGAACGCGAAAGGAAATTGGGTATTGTCGCTCCTTGAATGAGCCGCGCCTTGAACTCTCTTTCGTATCCTTGACAGCCTTTGAAAAGTGTAGCTGCTCCACAGAGGGCATAGTCTTGAGGGAAGGACGCGCCGGGCTGGTTAGCGGCTTTACCGTCACCTAGCAAGGTGTACAAAAGTGAAAAAAATATGCATTCTGTACTACATTCACTGCAACGAAGCGCTGTGAACAGGTGAGCTGTCCTGCCTACCCGTGAACTACGCTCGGATCAAACCCACTTCTTACCAGATTCATTTGAATGGTAAAAAAAACATGTTTGCGATGAAAGACCAGTGTCTTACCATTAGAGACATATTGTACGATAGATGGGACCGGCAGAAATCGAAAGCGCCACAAATGGAATGGAGGGGCTGAACCTCATGTGTTCCACCGATGCCGATGACACTAATATGTCCCCCCTCTAATCATTACGCAATGTACTTACAATATCGCTTGTCCCTGCACTCCATAACATAGATGCAATGCATGCATTTAGTACTTTCAGAAACTTGAATGGACGGCCTATTTCAAGAAAGAGTGGAGCTTTCAAGGTTAACGCAGAACCGTTCGGGCTGCCGCTTTCATTTGTGGCCCACTAAAGCTGGTCTCAACTGTAGGAAAGCTTGTGCTGCATACCTGAGGGCAAACGTTTTCGAAGCGATCACTGTGTATCCCCACATTCGACGAAATCGTTGTGCTCCCATGGGAATCAGTTCGTGAATCACACAGAAATGCTCCTGCAAAACGAATTAAGAGTTGACATCTTTACATCGGGAAGAAATTGATTGGCTTGATATAAATAAACCAGCTCAGACAGCGTTCGAACTGAGCTTCTTGGAAGAAGAATTGAAGCGTTGGAATCTGCGAAAAAGATTAGATACATATTGATCAGTAAACTCGCTCTAAATGAAGAATCTTAAGTTTTTCAACAGTGTCTCATTTAGGGCACAGCATCGTGATGTGTGAAATGGTGGTGTAGGTACGACCCCCCTCTGAGAGAGGGTGTCAGTACGACCCCCTCCCCCCACCTAAATGAGGGTCTCGGTACGACCCCCTCTCCTTCCCCAACATCTCCTACCAACTTCCCACATTTTCCAGTTCTTCACCCAAACATTTTCCGTCGAGCAGGGGGGGATACAGTACACATGAAAAGGGCAAAATCACGCGAAAAGTCAACACCGAGAAAAAAATTTTTTCCCAACAATTTTCCAGCAGCAGCAATTTTCTCTCAAACGCACTTGCGACCCCTTCTCTCTCTCCCAACGACCTAATACGACCTCTTGCCCCCTCTGCGGCGGAAAAGT